CCATTACTTAAAAGACAGTAAATATTTGAGTCTGCATCATTGCTCCCATAAAAGCAACATTATAGCTGCCTATTTTACGTTGACGCTGTCATTCTAATCACAGCTAGATAGCAACTTCCATAAAGCAATTTTGTTGGAATATAGTCCATCAAACTAAAAGGTGAATATTAGGCACAGTGACAAAGAAGTTGTGTATTGCTTAAAATAATAATAAAGGTGTATAATAAAAAAAGTATTTCCATAATGATGTTTAACAGAGCAAAGAAATTTTCACAGCATGTACGATGATATTTTTTCTTCTGGAAAAAGTCTTATTTGTTTTATTTCGGCTAGAATAAAAGCAGTTTTTTTTTAACATTTAAGGTCAAAATTATTAGCCCCTTTAAGCTATATATTTTTAAGAAAGTCTACAGAACAAACCATCGTTATACAACAACTTGCCTAATTACCCTAACCTGCCTAATTAACCTAGTTAAGCCTTTAAATGTCACTTTAAGCCTTGAAAAATAGCTAGTCAAATATTATTTACTGTCATCATGGCAAAGATATAATAATTCAGTTATTAGAAAGGAGTTATTAAAACTGTTATGTTTACTATTATGCCTAGAAAAAAATCTCTCTGTTAAACAGAAATTGGTGAAAAAATAAACAGGCGGGGCTAATAATTCTGACTTCGACTTTACATAACCATTCAAAGATATTTGAATAACAGCATTGTAAAAATGTATTACAATACCTCAGTGTTACAAGATCATTCAAAACTCATTCTTATGTACTAATTTGGAAGGAACCTTTCTTATAGGCCCCATTTACACGAATGCATTTTCGTTTTAAAACGTATACGTTTTGCTACGGTTACGCCATCCATCCACACTACGCCGGAGTTTTCGAGCGATGAAAACGGAGCGTTTTGAAAACGCTGAAGAGGCCGTTTTCATTCTGAAACGCTGCTGCTCCGTTTCAGTGTGGATGGGGAAAAACGGAGACATCAGAAAACGGAGGAGGGGCTGCCCACATTCGCCTATCTGATTGGGGCTTTTCCCTCAATTTTTTAAGTAGCTTACACACAGTTCAGAGTTCGCAAGTTTGATAAGGAAAACAGACCCTCGAGGACATGTCCGGTAAATCTTCAAAGGGAACAGTGTACTTTATAACCTTATTCACATCATCCTGGCAACGTTGTTTCACTTTCTCAACAATAAAATGAAAACATGATTTAAAGGGGTGGTCCACTACGATATTATATTTTAAACTTCAGTTGATGTGTAATGTAGCTGTGTGAACATAAACAGCATCTCTGAATGTAAAATGCTCAAAGTTCAATGCAAAGGGAGACCTTGATTTATACAGAGTTAGCTTAGCAACGCCTACAATTAACGAATTTTGGGGACTACAAAAAATATCTCCGCCGTGGCCAGAGATGCTGTAATGTTACTGCAGAGGGAGAAACGCCATCATGCTGTTTCCACAGAGCCGTTCTGTTTCTGTTGTTGGGCTTCCAAATGACACGACCCAAACACAGAAATGCTTACAGTTCAATAGTAATTATGTTCCAGAGAACTATAAAATACATAGCAAGCATGATTTGACAAAACGCAGCTTCCAGAATCTCTCCCAGTTCAGTGCTGAATTCGGCTAAAATCTCCTCAAAGATGGAGCAAGGAGACGCTGTGAACTCTGAGTCATGACCTGTAAGTGTTTTTATTTGTTAAAATTGATCATGACATGTACAGTGTCTAACCTTAACAGTGTGTTGTAGCAAAGATGTAAACAACGGGAAATTATGGTAACCGCTAACGTTACAAATCCATATTTATCAAACTGCTGTAAACACACATACACACACACATACACGCACTCTTGGCCAGCACCTGCGTCTCTCTGTGTGAGACGGCAGAGTTTTTTCTCTATAGGCAGCTTTCCTATGCGTTTTATAACTCGGACAATAAAGTCGCAAAAGATATGTGAACGATTCATTCTTCTTACACAGGCATATTCCGCATATGCGTGAAGGAAGTCCTGTAACGCGTTGATTTAAAAAAAAAAAAAAAACAGCAATGATTTCCCAACTGGAGTGTAACATCAAAAACAAATCAATCCAGGCTCAAAAAGGTCTCATCTCACATCTTGTGCTTTATTCTGTCACCACAGAAAATAACTTAATCCGAGCATGAGAGAAAAAGAACAATAAATATCTCTCCCGCGCACATGCGCTTCTCGTGTTACAGATACTTCATAATACACACACACACACACACACACACACACACACACACACACACACACACACACACACACACACACACACACACACATAAACACTAAAAGGCACAGAAACACTTAAAGGAGCCGCATCCCATTTTCACTCGTTACAGACACGTGTTGACTGACTGACTGTTTACACAAAACGCCTTGTCAGGGCGTGACGTGGAGCCGATCAGCGAATCACAGCACATTATGATGATGACCAATCAGTCACTTCAGGGCGGGCCTTTTAGAGGAACTAGGAAATATGCAATATGTCGTTTTTATGTTAGCCGAGTAGCTGTGTATAATCAAAGTGAGATTTATGAAAAAATAACACGATTTCCTTTAAGTAAAACATAAGCACACATCTTATTAACACAACCAAGCCTTAAAAACAACATTCTAGACCACCCCTTTAAGAAAACTGCCTATTTTCATTTTGATATTAACAACTGAACAGACAGCAGAAATGCTGAGGCGTCGTGCTGCATCTTTACTGTACGCATATTTATAATAAAACAGAGCCTATATAACATCCCTGCCTCCTTTCATTTTCATTGAAAATACGAAACAAATCCTCTGCTTTGCTGAATGTCTATATGTCTATATGTTTATAATCAATAATAGCCATTATGAGAGTATAACGCACAATAAGTTTATACATTATAGGAAATAAAGGCAAGCGATCAGTCCATATACAGAATGTACGTGGTTCCATTAATTATTAACTTATCCTAACCAAAACACGTTACCTGTGAACAAGTATTCGATTCAAAAAACCAAAGTTGGAGAATATGTTGTTAGATATAGAAAACAAGATTAATTAAATATCACGTTTGGCAAATAAAGTGAGATTATGCTTGATGAGCAGTCCGACCAGCACAGCTCTCATCTGGGCAGAAATGCTGCAGCGCTTGCCCGAGAGTGTGTGTGTGGTCACGTGATGTGGGTTTTCAGTGTTTTTCAGTGATGTGGGTTTTCAATGTTTTAGTGTGGACGGAGAGCAGTTCAGAAATGCTGGGTAAAACGCTAGTGTGGACGCGGATCGTTTTCATTCTAAAACGCAGTCTTTAAACTAAAACGCACTAGTGTAAACGGGGCCATAGATGCTAAAAACTGATTTTATGCTTGATATCTTTGGATTCTTTGATAAAAGTTGCAAAGAGCAGCATTTATTTGAGATGACACTACAAAATCACTTTACTGTCACTTTTGATCAATATAAAGCAGTTTTAATCAAGGCATTATTTTATAATCTTACTAAGCCTAAACGTTTCAATGGTAGTGTAGATGAAACTACTGATTGAAAACAAACAGGGAGACATTTAGGTTCAACTAGCACTATAAAAATGTCAATTATTATTCTTATTTTTAAAATCATCTATAAATGTTTAAAGTTGTCTTTTATTATTATAAATATCCACTTTATATTCAAGCTTCTTGTTTTGATTAAGACAAACCAGGTGCAAACCATGACATAACTATTGCAGTAATTAAGTATATACATATACTCATTGTGCCTTCAGATAAGATGTGGTGGCAATAAGCATCACTGATCAGTGGCTCATTGTATACCCCAAATACAACTATTAATTCTCCATTTGTCCCTTATTTTGATTTCAAATTCAAACATTGTTAATTATAATGATTTTACTAGTTACACAATTATTATTGATTTTTCAATCTTTCATTGTGTATTGTATTGTAGGGTGGTGCAATATGAATATTATTAATATCAATATTCAATATCAATATTCTTAGCCTCCTTAAGATATTGTTTTATCAACTGGTTATAGAACAAACCTTTTTGCCTAATAAGTCTAATTAAAGCCTTAGCCTAATTAAAAGAAATGAGTTATTAGTATAATCTATTAATTGATTGGATTTACAGAAAGGTTCTAACGTTATCAGGACTCCAAGATATGACATTTTTGTCATCTTGCCCAGCCCTAGTGTATCATGTGTTTTATAATAGTGGAGACATTGACAAAGTTGTTATGCAACTTAAATTACCCAAGATAACTTGCATCTGTAAATATCACTGAGGCCAAAAACACAACCACAATAGAGCAAAAGCCCCTATAGTTTGTCCATGACTTTAATTACACACATTTATGGTGAAATTACATTTGTGTGTCAAGCAAACAATGCTCTGTGAATTTTTTTTTAATTGTGCAGCCGAGCAAAAATAGACTTGTGGAAATGATCACAACACTGCTGTATACTTGCTCATTTCAATTAACCCTTGTTTCTATAGCACTTGTACAATGTAGATGTGTCAAAGCAGTTTAACATAGAAGTTCAAGTAAATTGAAACTGTCAGTCCTGTTTTCAGAGTTGAAGTTCAGTTCAGCATGGTTTAAATTTCACTGCTGAAAGTTCAAACACTGAAGAGCAAATCCAATGTTTATGATCTAATCCATTTGAACTGCCACACAAAATACAGACTCAATCCACACTGAAACTGGCCTAATTGTGGTTTATTGGTGGGAGCTTTGATTAAAATTACATCAACTGGTTATGCGCTCATCACTTAGCAACTGACCACTAAACACTGGCGGCTGCAGGCTACTTATGAGAAAAGAGCAGCTGTTTTTGAAGCAGTTTATTCTTAGTGTGATGATGGTAATGTGTAATTTGCTAGTTCTCACTAAAACAGAGGAAGTGGTAAGGGTTTTCTAAAAGGGTTTTTTTAAAAAGGGTTTTCGTCAAATTCATGGTAATCTGAAGCAGTGAGACATCACTGAATTTACCTTCACATCCCGGTGAATGATGTTGTTGTCATGGCAATACCGCAGCGCCTCTAGGATCTGTCTCATGTAGTGACTAAAGGAAATCGAGAGAAGGGTAAATGATGACAATTTTCTCTCTGGGTGAACTCACTTTTATCAGTCAGTCTCGGTGTACATCTCAAAGTAGAGCACAGAAACAAAAAGCAGATGAATGGCTTTATAGGTGTTTACCTGGCTACCGCTTCACTGTAAACAAAGCCAGCGTCTGCTCTCTTCACAATCTCAAAGCAGAGATCTGCTCCATCCATGCTGAAAGACAGAAAATCATCATCATTAAAGATGAATGCTGGAATAATCAGTTGTGAAGTGTACTTATGATTTCATTTCACAGCACTATTATGTCTCCTTGTTATAAGTGATCTAATATTCAAGTGTATAAAATTGATCTAATACAATGAATAGGAGAAAAGTGATTCAGTACAAAATATTTCTCAAATTATTGATTAAACTATGATGGAAATGGCCATTTTGGGTGGAAGCAAAAACAGTTTTTGTGTGTCTCTTTAAATGCAAATGAGCTGCAGCTCCCCACCCCCCTTTCAGAAAAGGGCTGTGCCTTTAGAGCTCATGCCAAAGCAGCATCTTCTCTGTCTTCCTTGTTAGCCAATACAGATGTGACTAAAACTGCAATTCATTGACTGGCCATTGGGGGCTGGCTCCAAAAAAAGAGTCTATCCCACAGAGGATGTGAGCTGAGTGTGATTGTGGCCAGAGCGAGGAGGGGGTTTTCTGAAAGTCGGACTGTCTAGATTTTCTCTCGCTTCGAGCGTGCTCCAGCACTGCTCCATAATAAACACAACAGACACAGAATTGAGTCATTTGATATATTCAACTAACAAACCAGCCAATCTATTTACATACTGAGATTAACAGTTATTAATAGCCTACTTATCATAAATCTGTTTATAAAAATACATCATTTACAAATCAAAGAAGATAGCCCAGACCCCTTAGTTTGTTTTTTTTCAAATTTTTGAGATCCTACAAAAAAATTATTTTTTTAAATACAATATAATTGCACGAAACATAAATATTCTCATAAAACATTAAATTCCAAACAATATAATCAAAATATATTTATTTCAGTTTGCAATTGAATTTTTACATGACTTATAGAGGTTGCAAAAATAGCGCATGTGATGTATTTGAGTGTCTCTAGAAAAATCACGTCTCACCTGCGCCCTCACATTACATGGAATGGGGCAGGCCTGTGCAGTAAGCAGATGCGAATGAAGCGCGAGTGGTTTACATTTGAAGTCAAAGCAGAGATGGAATTAGACAAGCTGTGGGGTGAATTGATCGTTTGATCCGATTTAAACTGCAAAAGAAAGTGTGAGCAAACGGAGCAATGAAACAGATGGAGATTGGTTCACGAATGACGGCCACTGGACATGACTGGATTGAAAGACATTATTTGTGCTTTACATGTAAGGCTGGTATTATGGTGTGCGTCAAATTAATAAATTATTTTGTTTAACTCTTTCCCTGCAGTTAAGGAAAGAAAACGCTTCCCTGCCACTGATGTGTTTTAGGGAAGTCCATGTTTTAGGTATATTACGATAGCGGAAGCCTAACGCATGTCTAGAGAGAGGTAAATAATGTCATATGCTCCGTGGAGTGTATCCTAAGACGAAGTAAGCTCGTGGCTAAAAATAGGAGTTATACAAACTTCCTTTGGCTTAATCCCTACCCTTACAGATTTGTTTTAGAGCTTGTCTTGACAAGAGACCAAAAATAAAGAAGCTCTATTTTTATGATTTGTGTCATTGTGTCAGATTGCACACTTAAAGTAGGCTACCTAATATGCTAAATAAGAATAAGATATATATATATATATATATATATATATATATATATATATATATATTATTCATTTATTTATTAAATTATTATTTTTTTAATTATTGATTTTTGTGGTGGGTGGTAATTCCGATAAATTTGCGGACAATTTTGGGATAAAATATATATATATATATATAATATCTTTTTTATTCCAAAATTGTCTGCAAATTTTTCGGAATTACCACCACAAAGATCAATCATTTTTAATAATAATAAAAAAAGAATAAATAAAAAGAATAAAAGAAAGAAAGAAAGAAAAAAAAAATTGCAAAAGTTTTTTTTGAAAAACTAGGGAGTCTGATAGCCTTTATTGAAGAATAAAGTGAATCCAATGCAATGATAATCCTTATGATGCTTGCATAATGATCACCAAACTAGGCTGAGGCTTTCATTGTATATATAAACTATAAATATTAAAAAGTAAATAATGTTAAATAATGCAACACTATATCTAAAAAGTATAATACAGGCTATTATCTATTAAAGGTCTATACAGATGCCTCATCTAAACATCACTGCGGTCACTGCTTTCGCATCTGTTTAAAGACCTATATTTGACAGATTACTAAATTTTTATAAAAGTTTAATGTTTGCTGTCAACTATAGGCACTATTTAAGGGCAATTTACATTACGACATTGATAGGATCTGACGTTGTCAAGCTCATGTTTCCTCTAAAATATTAAGGGCCCTATCATACACCCGGCGCAGTGTGGCGCAAGGCGTGGCGCAGTAGTCTTTTGGTAGTTTAAGCTTGGCGCAAGAGTCGTTTTGAGGCGTTGCGCTACGCTGTTTAAATTTTGAGAAACTATAATAGATTTTTCATTAGACCAAAACTAACCCGGTCTAAATTCGGGCGCAGAGTTGCGCCTCGCTTACGCACTGCTTAATACGCACAAGAGAGCAATAGGCAAATATCTTTACATATGAAAAAATGTAAATATTAAGGATATATATAGTATATAATAAAAATAGATATAAAATATAAATATAAAGGATTAAAATATTACAAAACATATTATTTTCTAGCCTACATAAATATGAAAAACGACTGCTTTTATGTCTTCATCTCGGGAGGCTTTTTCAGTTCATTCATAACAATTTGCTTTTGTATAATGTTATTATTATTAGCAGTATTATTTATTATATCAATATTTATATTTGTTTTATTAAAAACAAGCTTAGATTTGCCCACCTGTCAGGTTTTAGACCATATGGGGCGCAGCATGTGTTTTAGGATATAACTCAGGTTTTTGAGTTATTGCTCAAATTTTTTTTTGCTATTTTTATTCATTTATTCATTTGCTGGAAATTAGAACTGAATTTAGAAATAGTTTTGAAATTAATATTTGCGCTTAACAAACAAAAGTATTTATTTATAGACTAACTGATGTCTGTGCGTAAAGGTTTCCCTATCCAAGAGCGAAAGTGAAAGTGATCCATTATCTCTCATTCTCACGCAATAGATGCTCTGTTTAACAGTTTTCTGTTAAAAAACTGTTAACTGTTTGCTTGTGAAATGCTAATTTTTTCCACTTAGACTTACTTTGTGTCCTGTAAATAGTGAATGTGCTCTTGGCGCGACGCAGCTGACTCTTAAAGGGAATGGGAGATGAGATTCTAATTGGTTTATTCTCAAAACACACCTATAACTCATTAAGAAAATAAACTCAACCCTTTTAGAACATGCGCCGCGGTCCCGTCCTTAAATTAGCAAAAACGCGTCCTGACACGCCCTGAAAGCGTTTACGCTCTGCGCATGGACCGTCAAAATAGAGCCCTAAGAGACTTACATAAACTTTCAAATCAGTAGTACCAATATTGTCTGTCATTGCTGGTAAAATAACCATACTTTCAGAGAAGTCTGATATTTCTGTGTCAGTCTGACACAGGATGCACTAAACTGTAGCCAGTTTAACTTATTAAAGCGCTCTGAACTCACCATGATAAGTGAGATGGTAAAAATAAAACCACACAAGAGCTGATGTAATATCAGAAGACATTTATAATAGCAACTTGCATTAAAATGTAGCAATTATGGCAGAATTTTGTTTTATAACAGAAAAGTATTTATTAAATCCTTATTTTCTGTGGAGCGATCGTGGAGTGGGAAGCAGGTGAGAATGGAGAGAGGAGTGAGCGAGAGATTAAACACCCAAAGCAGATAGAAAATACTTGGTGAGCAGATTGGAAATTCTTGCTGCTCCACTCTGGTCATGTACTTTGCTATGTTAAAATGTTCAACTTAACCTGGTAAAAGCTTTGCCTGGTTCAAAAAATGTTTTTGGTGTATATAGCTTATTTTACCCTTCATGACAACTGTGTGGGAGTGAATTTTTTGACTCATTCATTTTCTTTTGGCTTAGTCTCTATTATCAACATTTGAAATTCTTGAAACTTAAATATAACAGACACCAAAATTGTTAAGGCATCATGTACATATTTATACGACCATCATCTTCACTGTATGCAAATTGATAACAAAACAAAGTCAATTTAATTGAATCAATTTAAGCTACAATTTTAATAATCACAAATAATTCTAAAAGTATAAAGTACAATAAGTTTATACAATATAGGAAATAAAGTCAAGCAATCGGTCAAACGTGCGGAATCAGTGTACCTGAGAACATATGGGCTAAATCAAATGACCGAGTCGTTAGATACAAGTCTTTACAAGATGAATTATAGATCGCGTTTAACAACTACAGCGCGATGAGATCCAGCGGCAAATTTGGGATGGACTGGCTGATGTTCGGCTGCTCTTAGTTGAGCAGGTGTGCTCAGAGCTCCTGCTGACTGCCTCGAGCTCAGACGTAAGAATACGCTATAGCAGCTTTCAGCGCATGCCAGAGTGCATGTACAATGATGTGTGTTTTCAGCAGTGTAGTGTGGACGGAGAGCTTTTTTAGAATGCTAGATGAAACTCCAGTGTGGACGGGGATCGTTTTCATTCTTAAAACGTCGTTTTAAAACTAAAATGTATTATCTTAGTATAGTATATTCTTAGTACAAATGATGTACTTATTTTTTTGTTTATGTGGCTTTATCCAGCCTATAGGTTTTGGGATTATTTATTACAATTATCAACTAATATGAAATGTTGTGCAGTTAACTGCGCACACAGACCATTCAAGTCTGGAGTGATATTCTTATATAATTTCATTTATAAAAGCATCTGTTTTATTTAAAATAATGAATTATTTATATTCTGAATATTAATGCACTCCAGAATCCGAAAGACTGATTAGCTGGCTATAAAACGGTCATCCGAAACACTGTTATAAATGCATGGATTCCAAACACAGCTTAGCATTTAGCTTAGCAGGAAGTATTTGGAAGTAATTAGTGATTAGCTGGAAACAATAACAGGATCCCTTTAAACATCACAACAACACAAGATGTGCTGGCCTTTTAATTACCTCTCAAAACAAACTAAACAGTAAACTATGAAGTTGAGTCAACTGTGGCAAATGAACAGTTTCCTGATTGAGATATCCTCCCGATTCTTCTGTACTTAGAGTGTGAGGGTGTTGTTTCCAGGGGCCAGCAGAGCTCTGAGAGTCTCTGCTTTTGTGTCAGCTTGGGTCTCTAAAGCCTTTAAAGAAAATCCCTTGAGAGGCAGCTGCGCTTCTCCAGATAAGAACTCACACTGCATAGAAGTTTCTTTTTTGTAGTTGGAAAGGCTCTGCACTTCAGATAAGCATATGAGTGAGCATTTAGCAATTGAGGAATTAAAAAGCTCATCCTATTTCACAAAACTGCTGAGAGAGCAACATACGCAGGCTCCTCAGAACGGGGAACAGCATATTCATGTCTTGTTTAGAGACACTTTTTAGAGATCACTGACCCAAACGCTTCAAAATATGTTTTAAAACAATTGCTCATTTACATATGCTAAAACCACATGGATATGTTTTGACTATTATTTCTGTTAAGTGACAAGACTTTTGTCTCAGCAAAGTCAGACCTTACTGTCCTAATCAAATAATTAAAGATAAAGACATGATCATATTTTTTTTGGGTACAGAAAGCGTAATCTAGAGGCCTTTGCCTTTCATATACATCATATACTTTCATATACTTCTGATAACAAATGATCAACTAGAAGTAATTATTTGTTGTTCCTAAAACTTGGATAGACAACAAGACTTTTTACTGTCAGGTAGTGTACAGAGAAAGAAAAAGGCTCTTTATTGAGATTGACGATTCCGTGAAGAACCTTTAACGTCATTGCACAAAATGTTCTTTACAGAGGAAAAAGGTTCTTTAGATTGTTAGATTGTTCTTTTCAGATATGAAAAGAGGTTCTAATCCTTGACATCACTATAAAAAAATCTGTGGTTGTTCCTGGCACTTCATAAATGTGCGAGATGTCTACATGTCATTTTAAAATATTATGAAACTAGAAAGTCAAATATTAGCTAAATAATGTTCCATAGTTATTTAGCCAAAAATCTATATTATATGAATCAATAAATATTAACTGTACATAAATGTTTATTTTTACAGTAAAAATAGATATATTCACTGTAAATAAACATTTACTTGATTTTAGTATGCTTGACAGGATCGTTTTGTTATATAAACTATTGTTACACTGAATTATAGGCATTATTATTTGCTCATAAAATAATACAATAATCATAAAATAATATGAACAAATATGATCTTTCATGTTTTATACTTTTATTATTTTGATGCATGAAAGCATCTTTCATCTTGATCAGGTTAAAATGCAAAGAACTGCAATCAAGATGTAAATTCAGCATTAGTCTTACAACTCTTATTAGAGTTGTTATTATTAGACTTACAACTCAAACACCATGTAGAGCATCCCATCAGAGCTGTAGGTCTCTAGAAGCTCCACTATATGAGGATGTTTCAGCATGTGGCAGATACTGGCTTCTCTCTTCAGGTCTGAAAAGACAAAGTGGAAGACTGATGTTAACTGCATTTCACAACAATTACTGTTTAACAAATAATTAAAGGCCATTTGGAAAAAAATACACAATTTATAATCTTTAACAACATTAAGCTACTCGCAATGTTAAACTACAAGGAATTAATTTATTCTATTCATAAGTTTACTGTCTGGAATATCCCAATTTATACAAAAAAATTCAAGCTCGGATCCAAGTTCTGATCTTACTTACACATCTTTAAAAGCAAAAGCTAGATTGCTTTATATGCTAATTCAGACACAAGTTTTGGCACAATTAGCAAAAATGTTCAAGGGTGCGCAATCAGACATCTGTGTCGCTAGATAAGTCTATATAAAGGACCACACATACACCGCTGATCTTCACATCTGTGATTAAAACTGTTGGAGTTTAGGAATCACACAGCCATGAGAAAACAGTCAAACACTTGTTTCACAAACCAGATGTGGTGTTCAAGTTCAGTTAAGAGCAAAAATGCATAAAGAGTTTTTTCCACCACATTAAATTTAGCATGGCCCCGGATTTCCTGACAGTTCTCCCAGATCAAAATCACTTAAAATGTGTTTCTAAAGTGCAAAGCTGATAGAGATCTCTCTTTAAAATTCACACCTCCACTTCTTCATTTTTGCATTGACCTTCTGATGCCACAAGAGATATGTTTATGCATAAAACAATATTTTAAAAAACATTCGGTAGAGGCTACGATGATTGCTTACTTTTTGTCAAGATCTATTATTATATTTAAAAATGCTTTGAGAATACAGTATAGTGCAAGAACTCTCCTATGATTCATCTATACTCATTTAGACTTTTCAAAAAGGTCTGGGTGTTATAACAAACAAAAGTTTCTTGTGTGCATGTTTTTTAAGGCAAGTCATTAGACTCCAGTTTTGGCCCGCTGTCATGTCTTTAATACATTTCTTCAATTTATAAAACTATATTTATAAAACAGTTTTAAAACTGCCACCTCAAATCTAACCTGTTAAACAATGCACAGAACATCAGAGACAGCATGAGAAAGAACCCCTGAAACTTGGGCTGCAGGATATATTGTTTCGGCATCGATATCGCAATGTGGTCATACATAACAGTCACATCGCAGGATTTGCAATATTAAATTTGCATTATAATTTATCATTTGCATCTGTTTTTCAAGGCATGTAACAGTATAATGATTTTAAAAACACTTACATAAGTAATTATACCATGTGTAACTTTAATAATGATCAATTCTATTCAATTATTTGTGTTTTTATTATTAAATTACTCTACTTATATACTGGTAAAAATGAGGAAACACTTTTAATTTTAATTCTATCCTTTTCTTTATAGTATTTATACTATATTACAATCAAATTAATGCTATAAATTCTTTCCAAATAGAGGTATAAATTAAATTGAATTCATATTGGGATATATATTGCAGAATAACAAAATATTGAAATGTTACATTTTTCCAATATGGTACAGCCCAACCTGAAACCCTTTTATATGTTTAAATTTCCTTAAAAATGATTCTCTAATAAATCTGTTAATGTTTAATTAATCATATGTTACTTAAACTTTAAAGTAGAAAGTGTGGTTGTAAAACTTAACATCGATACAAGCCCCCTAGCTCGCTCCCCAATTAATAATCCCTGATTCATGCTGATAAAAATAAACATCCTGAAAAAAAATTATTAAAAACATCTTGGAAGAACTTCCCAGTAAATCCCACCATCAAACACTTGGAGAGGCTGTGGAGCTGCAAAAGTGTCAAATAAAAGAAAAGCCTATGCTTTGTTTCACAATCTAAGCACGAAATTAGCATGTGAGAGACGGCTTTATTATATTTAACCAACTAAGCTAAAGCACTTCAGCTCGACCCCCTGTGAAACAAATAACTGTGTTCTGTTTAATAGAGACAGAGCATATAGAACAGGAAACGAGCATTCCGGTGTGTTGGACGCTTGCTAAGTAACCACAAGACCATGTTTAGCAGCAACAATATGCATCACATTATTAGTGTGCATGCATAAATACAGTAAGTGCCTCCTCCTTTCCTGGAACTCCTCTCCATTCTTTCAAACTCACTTCCTCCCTAAAGGAAAATCCTCCCCCATTCCCTGACTTGTTTCATCAGCTGTGACCCAGTTGGCAAGTCAGGAGTGGGAAAATACCTCATACTGTATACCACTGCAGATTACAGTAAAGACACACAGACATCTGACACCATCTGATGAGTGCGGCATTGAGACGCAACAAAAGCAGATTGCTTTCATTGTAATCACCAAAGGTCACCTCAATGCAAAACTGTTTCTGCGTTTGACAGGTTAACACATGAATCAACATCTGCTCAATCAGATCGACCAGCACAGATGCTTGTCAGAACAAACAGTCTCTTATATATTGTGCTCAACATAATCGAGTACACCCCATTTTAAAAATGAATATTTGTATCCATTTCTCAGTGAATATTCACTGCCTGACAAAAGTCTTGTCGTCCATCCAATTGTTTTTATAAACAGCAAATAATAACTTGACTTCTAGTTGATCATTTGGTATCAAAAGTGGCTTATATGAAAGGCAAAGGCCTACAGATTATGCTTACTTTACCTAAATAAAATATGATCATGCTTTAATTTTTATTTAGGACAGTAAGGTCTGACTTTGCTTGGACAAAATACTTGTCACTTAACAGAAATAATGTACAGTATAGAACAGACAAGTCCAAACTCGGTCCTGGAAGTTTAATTCTAACCCCAATCAGACACACCTGGGCTAGCTAATCAAGCTCTTACTAGGCTTTCTAGAAACATCCTTGCAGGTGTGTTGAGGCAAGTTGGAGTGAAAATTTGCAGGACACCGGCCCTCCAGGACTGAGTTTGGACACCCCTGGTATAGAACAATGTCATGGTGCAAAAAGAAATAATATTGTGTATAACTCCTGTGAGTTCATCAAGATTCTTTGGATTCATCTGCAATGCCTTCTCCTTCAGTTGATGTTGTCATCCACTCTGCAGATCTCTTGCACATCCCCATACTGAATGTATCCCCAAACCATGATTGTTCTTTCACCAACATTGACTGATTTCTGTGAGAACCTTGGGTCCATGCAGGTTCCAAAAGTTATTTTGCAGTATTGGTGATGATTAGGGTGCAGTTCAATAGATGATTCACCTGAAAAATAAATCTTCCTTCTGCCACTTTTCCAAATGATCAACTACAAAAGTCAAGTTATTATTTGTTGCTCTTACAACTGGGGTCAACGGCAAGACTTTTGTCAGGGAGTGTAGGTAAGACATTTTGGAATATTTGAACAAAACAGATTTATTAAACAGATATATTTATTAAAGTTATATATTAGTCAACGAATATCTTTAGAAATAAAAAGTAATAGATTTAAATTCAAGCGAAATATTGGGGGAAACAATAACAAACCACAAAATTTCAATTTTCAATTCAATTTATACACTTTTTATTTCTGTTGAATTTTGCTCTTTTAACTTTTTTATTTAATGTTTTTCTATAACCTAAAATTTGGGTGTACTCATTTTGGACCGCTTTCGTAAGTTATTTTGTTGGATTAGCTCCAGATTTGATTTCAGCACGGACTAACCTAATGCATATGTACAAATTTAATATTGTATAGCTTCCTATAGAAAATATCAATCTAAATGAGAGATTTGTGAAGAGTGTACTGTATGTTGAGCACTGTATGCAGACTGCTGTATGGATCATCTTCATCTATCCGCTTGTCAAGTCCTGACATATGGAATAATGTGTCCGGGTCCAAGCCGTTACTCATTTGAATTGAGAAAATATTCGTTCATGACCACTTTTTGGTCATATCACACAATAAAGTAAATTTTATATAAAATCATGGTGTACACATCAGTCTCTGGACTTGTTGCATCACAGACACCAATGTTTTAACAATTTCGCTTTGCTAATGTTTATTATTACCATATGTTGAGCCTCCCAATACAGTTTGATATGCCGCTAGGACCCACCTTGCATGACGTCACACTTAGCAAGCAGATAGGCACTGTAGAGATAGAGTCGGTAAATGCAAATGAACATTTTACAAAAAGGGCTCACTAAATGGCATAATATAAAATGTTTATATGACACTTGACATGAACTATTTTCAATTATGTTTAACAAACAAACCTTTTGTCTTCCACTTGAAATGCTGTGCTTATGAACTGAGCTCTTGCTATCAGGCTTGATATTAAAATGTAGAAACAAGTGTTGTTTAATTCATACATTGTACTTTTTCAAGGTTGTTTTCTTGCAAGATTTAAAAAAACAACAACATTTTATTCAAATTAAATTAATTAAAAGCAACGCTATAGATATTTATAAAGTTATAAAACAGTTCTATTGTAAATAAATGCTTTTGAAAAAGAAGATACATTTACCATGAAAGATTGTTTTTAAATATTAACAATAATACGTTATGTTTCTTCTTGTGTGCATATAATGAAGATTCCTGAAGGATCATGTGACACTGAAGAGCAGAATAATGGCTGAAGATTCAGATTTACCGTACCATCACCGGAATTAATGTTTTAAAATAGCATACAGTATATTATATACTGTATACGAAAAGCATCTTACCGACCCCAAACTTTCTAAAGGCAGTGTATGTATGTCTAAGTGCAGCTTAAATATCCAGAGTTTTAAGGACCACTATTTTTAAGCTCATAAGAGTTTGTGAATGGCTCATCTTAATCCCGCTGTGTGCTGTGGCAGTTCAGCCCTTTGGCATCGCTTCTGGCCTTTTAATGACCAGTCCATTACTATGGCAACACCTGGATATACTGGGTGCTTCAAAAATGGCAAAATTACCATGTTTAGACACACTTTTTACAGCCTGTTTGCAGATTAACATGATGTGTTGGTGTCCAAAATGACATAATATACAGTTAAGCAGACATAAAATTAATTGTTACAACTGTTAGTTGTGACAGGAGGGAGGAAACAAGTCTCAAT